AGTTTTGTCTTTTCCAGATATCGGACACCAGCATCCTGGAGACCATGTACAAGAATCACTCCAACCTGGAGACAATCTTTCGAATCATAGACACAGATCACTCAGGCCAGTCCTGATTCCTAAACTCCCATTACCACGATTATTATTATTATTATTATTATTATCATCCTGATATCATGAGAAGTTGACCACAGATCACTGACGTCTCCCTCTTTGTTACCATTCAGGTTCCATCTCTTTGGAGGAGTTCAGACAGACCTGGAAGCTCCTGTGTTCACACATCCAGACAGAGATCAGCGACGACGCCATTGACGATCTGGCCAAGTGCATAGACTTCAACAAGGACGGGAGCATTGATATCAACGAGTTCATGGAGGCTTTTCGATTGGTGGACCTCTCAACTGGACCGAAAGTCACAGAATGAGCAAAACCTTTCAGTCCTTCAGATTGTTCATTAAAAAAAAACAAAAAAACAATTTGAGTAATTAGAATTGCGAATAACTCACCATGCAATTTTATTACTGCATTTAACCCATTGTGGTACCACAACAATAAAAAAGTTTTTTTAGTGGGATTTTTACACAATGTGTAAATAAACATTTCCTTTGTAAAAATTTAAATCAAATAAAGCTGACATTATAATAAAACACACCACCTTTATAAGAAAGCTTAATGCATTTTTATTTTTATTTATTATTTTTTTTCCAAGGTGTGGGGATTGATGGTGCATCAACCTAGTTTGGAATAATAAAAAAAAGGGTGGTGTGAAGCCAAAGAAAGTTTCAGAACCACTGCATAAAATGGCGTGGTGGGCTGGGTTAAGGCTGCAGGCCTCGGGTTTGACTTATGAGTAATGTAGCTTCCTAAAACAAACATACAAGGTAGTTTATAAAAACCAAATCACACAACTCCATACTTTCACTATAAATATTTCCCCCCAGTGTGTATTAATAAAGAACATAATAATAGAATCATAATATATAACTGAGTCCATTATTCTTCCCAGAGAGGGGAAATTTCCAGAGTCTTTGCTCACGACAAAGGCTGCCACAGGGGGCGCCATTTGAGCTATTTGTTTCCTCTGGAACTCAAATAAAGAAACGTGGTTCTAAATCTGGCGCTGCTCTCATCGACATAAACTACATCAGTGTGTATTTCCGTCCTTCATGACAGGAATGACACTTCAGCTTCAAGAAATATAATCTGCGTCAAAGCTGACTAATCTCCTACACTGCCAAAACCAGGACACGAATCCTATCAACCTGAGCCCTGCTTTGACGACATGTTGACACGGTGGTCCACTCTGAGGAGCAGAACACTGGGCTCAGAACAGTGATTGTAGCGTGTGTACCGTCCGCACGCTGAAGAAGAAAGACACCGTTCATCAGGGTGAATTCATTGGAAATCAATTTTAATTATTACTAGTGGGTTAAAAAAAAGGCAAACTATAAAGATGTATTTACAAAGTACTGCAGCACGACACACGCACCATCACATGGTGTAAAGTATAGGAAGGAAGTCAGCTGATATATGACACTGTCCAGTCTTCCATTCCATTCATCTGCCAAAACCATAATTCTCCAACTGTCAGGCAAAGAAAGTTCATATACGGACGACTTAAGTCCCAAACGCAAAAGAATTGAGAATCTGAGATTCGTCGATTCAGGCTCAAACGCATCTCTGCTCTTCAGACGGTAAGAGTCGGCCTAGAGATGTGTGTTAGTGTGCGTGTGTGTGTGTGTGTGTGATGAAGCACATTTCTCAGCTCAGGATTCCTCCTCTCATGTGACCGCCCTCGCTCAGGCCATGCTCTATGAGTTTGATGTCCTCCAAGTCGTCTTTGATGACACTGATCAGATGGCTTAAACCGTCCTGCTGCTGCTTCAGGTGCTGCAGGTCAGACAAAGGTCAGACAGGGGTCAGAACAGCCTGTTCACCACGTGAAGAAATGCTCTTATATTCACACAAAGAATCATATCTCAGTGATGGGCAGGTAAAAAAAATCTATTTATATACTTTCAACTTCTCTGTGAAAGGTTTTAGGATGCGACTCTTACTTGTTTGATTTCTCGCAGCAGGTCTGCGTCGACACTGTAGCGTTCCTCCGACCTCACGGCTCCAAAGTGGTTCTGCATCCGGATTTGAGACATTAATTCATTCAAACGGCCCTGAAACATGAGACGATGACGTTATTTTTTTTATGGAATCAAAACAAACAAAGAAACAAACCATGACTGGAAACTCTCCAAAATACCTTTCAATATGTTGGCTTTTTTGAAACATTAAATATAATAAATATAAGACACAATGGGGCCTCCAGGGACTGGCTGTTTGTCAGAGGCTCGGGTTACATGCACTTACCTTGAACTGCGTGGGGGCGTTGAGTTCAGACTGAATGGTGTCCAGCTGCACTCTCAGATGCTCTTCGTCCACTTGGATAGCGTAACCACATTTCCTCTGAATCTCCTGTTTAATCAGCACCTACGGATGGAAATGAAAGAGGAAAAGCGATAAACATGACAGATTTAGATAAAGCTTTAGAAGGTGCAGACAGCTCAAGGGCCTTGGTTCAGCCTGGATGAAGAATTGTGGACCTTGAAAAAAAACAAAAAAACAAAGCTGGTACCTGTAGAACTCTGTGGGAGAGATCAAAAAACAAAAACAAGGCCGGTACCTGTAGAACTCTGTGGGAGAGATCCATCAGTTTCCTCTTGTACTGGGCGATCTTTGCCACCGTGGTCGCCTGATTCTTTTGCAGTTCACTAATGTCATTGGCAATTATCTGCAAGGCCACAAGAGAGAAATTCTGTTCAGTCAAATGATTTAAACTTTGCATCAAAAAATGAATTAAAAATTCAATACGGCTACAGACAGCTTTGGTTACTGATAGTATACTTGTAGTACTACATAGTATCACAGCGAATCTTATTCCCATTAATTGTTGGGGGTTTGACCAATGGCGTGAGAAAAATTTCCGAGGATGCCAAACCTCCCCACAGAGAGTGCAGGCTTATTATTATGCCAAACCTCCCCACAGAGAGTGCAGTACCCCGTTCTCAACGCATATTCGCCACGTAACATTTAGAGGGGCGCTGTTTTACACATCACAAAATGAGACGACAGCGTTCTGATTAAACAACGGTTATATTCTGAAAAAAACTGGAAAAGCCTGGCTTCACTTGGTCTCAAAATAAAATAAATAAAACTGAAGTAATGATAATAAACAATATTACTCTAATTTCAAATCTCTGTCAGTTAGCTTATCCCACAGCTGTACTCTCCCACATCTGTCTCTCTTGGGGGGAGGGGGTAGTGCGACCGCTACGCACTCTTGGAGGTGACGTGACATATGACAACAATCAAACTCGTCACAAACATAAAGGCTTATGTCCAGCAGAGGAAGCAGTATAGCGTGTGGGTTTTCATACTTTATTCTTGTGCTGAACACATCCTCAGGGTCTGTGTCCTCAGACTGTTTTTTTTTTTTTTTCATCTCAGCCTAAAGATTAGGAAACACAGAGCTCTGTGTTTTCACTCACATCCACTCTGGTCTGATGTTGTTTGGTCATCTGCTCCTGGATCTGCAGCCGGCACAGAAGCTCCCTGAAGCCCACCATAGGAACTGGTATCAACCTGGAGAAAAAGACCCTCAGTCAAACTCACTTATTTTTTAAAGTTACTACTTGATCCTGGAAATAATTTTTTCAATCATGGTTAATGAGGCAGAGAACAGGATTTTCCCTGCGTTCAGTCAGTTATTCATTATCTACTACACATATGTCAAACTCAAGGCCTGCAGGCCAAATCAGGCCGTGGCCTTTAGTTTAAGACAAATTTTTTTTGGGAACTTTTTGCCCTTCATTAGGGCTCGCAGGCATAAGTCAAGACTCTTCTGATGTTTTTACGTCCTAGATTATGATGTTACCCCTGTGTTAGCGTAGGTGAATGGCGCAGGTACTTATGTAAAGTCTGAGAGTTACAGCAAAAATCGAGTTACATCATGTCGTATGAACAGAACTTGGTACGTTTGGCTACAGATAATATACAGTGAACAAAACCATTAACCAACTCACTTCTCGGGGTCAGGGTTGTCAACCTTGGCTTGCTCCCAAATTATGGGGTCCACACCTAATAATGAAAGACTAGACTTTAACTTTCACTCCAGATGAGTGAAGAAGAACGTTAGCTGTGACGTGGACAGGTGTGTGTACTGTACCTGTGGGGGCGTTCTGCTGCAGCTGTTTGAGCTGAGCTGGAGACAGCTCTGTGCGGGGAACAGACCTGGCCACTCCGATCTGTGAGAGCTGCACCTTGATGTTGGCCTGCTCCAGGAAGTTGAAGAGCGTGGTGGCAGGGATTCGCTTGGAGGTGCCATTGAGGGAACGCTCCACCACATAAACGATCACCTCCGTCCTGAGAGAGAGAGAGAAAAAAAAAAAAGATTTACTCTTGGAAGTGAATGGGTTTTATTAAATATTCACAGTTTTAGTACACAGTGTGTAAAGTGTGACTGACACCTACTGGTCACTTGGTAGAGCTTTGACATCATCTACATTGACAGCGAGTGTTTGGTGGTTTCCCAGGACCTTATGTAGAGACTCCACCAGCTGCTGCTGCTGGGCCCGCACGTCCGCTTCCCTTTTGCCCAGAATCAAAATGACTAACCCATCCTCGTCTTTACTGAGTGGAACACAGCTATAGCCCACGGCCTG